TAACCCAGTTAATATACAGTATTTAATATAAAGTTCCAATAAAGCACCAGAGGTGATAAGTTATTTTGTATTACTTAAAGTCTCATTAGTTGAAGTTTTATGTTAACTTTTACACTTTGTATTTGATCTTACACCCACACTAAGGATTAAGAAAAGGCGATAACTCTCCTTAACATGTAGAGATAACTTAAGGGTAAGCAGTAAATTATAAAAAATTAAATTCAGAATCCTTAGTATTAGATATCCTCAGTCATAATACATATACATAGTTACAGTTACAATTTATTTTATTTCTAAAAAATATCCATTAAAAGCGCACTAAGAATATTTTACAGCAGTTATAATTTATGATATTGATTCTAAAATGATATTTGTATAATCACACAATAAAAGCTACAAAACATTTATGTTTTGTTTGTAAACATTTATATTTTGTACCAACAACAAACTAATTTGAAAATCTTCCAGATATTTTTAGGTAATTTAAATCAATTTTCTTCATTTTAGCATCTCTTCCAAGATTTATTTGTTTTAATAAATAAGTCAGTGTTCCCACTAGTTACTGCTTCCTCTTCTAGTTTGTTAATGATTCTCTGAAGAATAACTTTCTTTTATAAAATCATTTTTTTCTTCCATGAGTTCTCCATTCACTTTAGAATTTTAAAATTTAAATAAAAATTTCTGTTATTCTAGAGAAATGCTTGTATTTAGAAGGTTATACAAGAAACAGTTTTATTTCCTTAATAATATGAAAATTGAGTCAGACCTGGAACCAGAGACAACATGACAGAATTTTTAGAATTTAGTGAAGAACCAAGCAACAAAATCTACGGATAGCAAAAACTTTAGAATTTAGGACAGGAACTGAGCTATGGTGCACCGAGACATATAAAATGAACCTTTCATTAAATTGTTGGTTTTCAATTTATTTGCTTACTTCAGTGATTGTGTCTAATGGAAAGATAAAAAAATTATGAAAAAATAAACATGCTGAGAGAAAGACTTCTGGGATCAAAAGGAGAAAATTTAAATTATTTTGTTATCACTGTTGTTCTAAAAATTCTTCAAAAGGTAAGAAATTGATCACAAATTTCCTATGAAACACGTCCATTAGGTGCTAATACCATGAAGACATTTTTTTATTTTGTCACATTTTTCTGGAATGGTAGGTTTATAAATCTTGCCTTTAAATCCTTCTAAACCTTCTGAGATGCTAGGTCTAAAATCCCTACTAACTCTGTAAGACCAAAAAGGTAGATGATTTTTTGGAGGGGGGTACAAATAATTACAGTAGCCTTTTTGTTTCAATCTCAAAAAAAGTTTTGGAAACACAAAAATAAAAAGTAATGTCACTTTAAAATAAGATTTTAATATATTATCATTATATTTATGATGTTTCCAATATTATTATATTTATTAAAAAATTGCCTAAAAATCTTGAAATCACAAAATACTGATAAGTCCCCACATTTAGTGCCGCATAATAAAAAAATTCACATATGAAAAAAGGAAAGTTTTTTTATGTAATATTTTATGAACTTTCATTTGCAAAAATTAAATAATTTTGAAATGGTTATGTTTCAGTTGAGGAAGTGCCTCGTGCCTAAGACTCAAGTATCCATTGTTTATATTAAATAGCAGTAGAGAATTCAAACATTAACCCATCAAATACACATTTGTCAATCCACAGCCAAAAAATATTGCTAAAAATGCTAATTCACACTCAAAATGGTACCTGTAAAAAAACATAAGGAAATGTCAGATAAGTAAAATTAAGGACCTTTGGCCGATTTTAGCCCAAATTATTAAGGACCAAATATCATTTCCAAAAAAACCTAAGGACTTCTAAGTACATTTAAGTACATACAAACTCTGCAATTACATGACAGCAACATGGTTGGATTTTCATAAATGATTTTACTATCATAATATGTATTCTTATAAATATTTTTTCATTTACTCAGTTTGGACAATCATGAGCCAAAACAAATTTTGACATCTGCCTAATCATGGAGGAGAATGTAATGAGTGTAAAATAAACATGATAGAAAAAGCAAAAGAAAAAACACCATTTTAAAAATTCTTGAAATGTTCTTCATAGATGATTGAGTAAACCATATCATATAGTTGAGCGAATCTTATGCAGCTCAGAATAATCATCACCAGTTTATACTCTCTGGAGACTATTCCAAACATTTTGGGGGATTTTTTACAGTTAACCGGATTTCACACTTTACCTCAAGAGCAGATGTATTGGCTGGAAGAAGACATAAATATTGGAAATGTACAAAAATGCGAGACAAGAAGTCTTTATATTGAAATAAAGTAAAACCTACATTTTGATTACAATATACATATACCAATAATTAATAAGAACAAAGACAGGTTATTCAAAATACAACCAATTCTGGATGAGCTAAATAAATTATTTATGCAGTTTAGAGTATTTTCGTATAATCTGAACATCGATGAACAAATGGTGCATAATTATGGTGATCATTTCCTGAAGCAATATGTTAGAGGCAAGCCCATTTGCTTTGGTTTCAAGCAATCGGCAATGTGTTATAATATGACTAGATATTGCTACAATGCTGAAATTTATGAAAGTCAGCTAAGCAGTAGCTCAGAAAAAGTTATGTATAGATTACACATTTTGATAATATTGCATAAGTTAACAACCATAGACAAACCAAAAGAACACTACTTTTATTTCAATAATTTTTTTACAAGCATTGGTTTGCTGAAAAATTTAAAAGAGAGAAGTATATCTGTGAAGGGAATGTTGAGATTAAACAGGATGAAGGATGTTAACAACTCATTTGGAAGTTTTATCTTTGGGAGCTTTATCTTTCATTTATTTCTGGAAACATTTTCTAAAAATTTAAAGGCTAAAAATTAAAAACCATGAGATTCGGTGATCTGATGGGAGATATGATGGAAAGCTGGAAGAGTTGGCAGCTATGAAATATATAAGAAAACACTTTGAAGCACAAATTATAACAATGCTTCAGAAAAATGTTGTTCACACAATGCATACAACAAACCATGTTTTGTAATACTTAATGACAAATGAAACACTAATCAAACATACAAAAAACTTAAAACAAAGAAATGTGTATTGCATTCTATAAAATATATTATTTCATTTCAGAAAATTTCGAAAGAAAATACAAATAAATAAATACTTTAACACTAGCTTTATCTAAACACTTTAAAATTATGATATTTTTAATCCGTAATTCATGAGTACAACATACATGGAAAGAGAAGAAATCATTAATTTGAGAATCACTTACATATTCTTTGAGTAGTTTTTGAAGCCAGGTGAGGACTACTTTTGCTGAAGAAACATTTATATCTCCATTTGGCACAACATTTTCATTGGCATCACTTCTTGATATAATACAGTCTTTAAGTTGATCTAACATTTTATTCACTGGCACTTTGTTCTCACTTAAATGAATATCTGTTTTAGGAACATTTAAAGTAAAAAAAGTATCGGAGCCAAATTTATCATTAATGGAATGAGTCTTGGATGAAGAATCCTGCTTCTCTAAAGGCTGATTCTCGTATTCATGAGCTGAAGCTGCAAGTTGTAAAAAATTAACATTTAAAAACACATTGACAGAACTAGCATTTTGAATTTCTATGGAGAGCAAAAATACTTCATAAAAACAAAATTTTATAAATAGAAATGCCATTCATCAGCAAAAAAAAATTTTTTCTGGACCAACATGATACCTTGCATAAATATGTAAACTTTTTTGTTAACTGAAGGTTCACAGAAAAATTTATCTCCTGTATAAATAAATTTATAACCGCATACAACACACTGTAAGAGCTAGCATACATTTTATTAACTATTTTAGATAAGTATATTTAAACATGATATGATTCAGAAATAGAGAAGCAATTTTTTATGCACAACAAAATTAGAAAAATTTTAATCCTTAACCATTGCAGGAAAATTGTTACACTGTCTTAGCATAATTTCAAAGATTCAAATATGATTAATAGCAATAACATTATTATTAAACTGTGCTGTAAAAGACTGAGAGCATAAAAGATATTTTCTGATTATCCACACCCTCATCGAAAGTCGCAAAAAAGTATTCATGATGTAAAGTAAAAAAATAGCTGTCGCAACTTACAATGTTGACAAAAACTATTTACATTGTAACGCAGATAGGCAGGTAGCACATGTCTACTGAGGTTATCTGGGTTATAATGTCTAGCACTGTTTTTGCCAGTGCAAAACCCCAACATTGCACAAATCTGATATTTTAGCAAAACCATATCACTGTACACTATAGACAACACTGAAAAAAGAATTTCTCAAAAAAGATAATAATAAGGACTATCTTTCATATCCATCATTCTAGACACTACACATGCTTACACCTTTATTTCTATATTGCTTGCATCAAACATCCTCTTACACAGGAAAAATAGTCACACTTGTCTCATGCCTCAGGCTCCCACACTTTATGAGGTGGCAGACTTTTTATCAGTTTTTTTTTTTTTTAATCAATTGCTGCACTGGCCAATCTGGATCACCACTCCCAAGGACACAGAAATCACCATGAATTAGAAGACTGACTGGTCATCAAATTGCTCCTGTTATTATTGCACAGGTATAGCATCAAACCAGCCTATAACTAATCATCTTACTCATAGTGCAGGGCTTTACCCTTCTGCCATCAGTTACTGGAATAGCCATGTTTTTATACCCCTGGTGCCAAGACTATCAAAGTACAAATCTCTATCAGCACTATAAACAACCTGGGGGGGAGGTTAAAAAGAAGGGTAAGTGTTCTATAATCAATGTTACTTGCCTTTTTAATCCTATTAAATGACTGCTCTTTATTATTATTATTATTAATTTATTTTTCTGGTTCATTTGATTATGGCAAAGCATGTGAGAGCTATCTTCCCAAGAGAAGAAATGCTTTCCTAAAGGACTTTACAATGGAAACTGGCTCATCTCCACACATTACACAAGAAAAAAAACGCAAAAATGTCAATGCAGCCACCCTGTTCATATGGAATTGAACTCAGACCAAACTTCTAATACTCAACAACTCCTGCTCTGCTGCTGGTGGCCCTAAATTTGTATCGAAATCTTACTGTGCCTGTTGCCTTTTGTGTAACAGCTATTATGAAAATGCCATTATGAAAAATGCCATTATGAAAATGCCTGTTGCCTTTTGTGTAACAGCTAGATGAAAAATTAGTCAGCAATGCTTTCCAAAATAGCAATGAGTTTGCAACTTTTCAGTGAGGGTCAGAACAACATTAAATTTAAAAAGAACAACATTAAAATTTGTGTGTTAAAATACAGGGTATTCCAAAAACACTGACCTTGGCTTTTATTCCTTAAATATGATGGTAGACATAATATAAATTACAAAGTTACATTAAAAAGGGTACAGGATTTTATGAAATCAATTAAAATTTTCAGAGAATTAAATTTCAAGAAGTACAAAATTTACATTTTTATATGGCCCCCATACAGAAAATTTTTCAATTAGCAAAATGTGCCCCATATACTGATAAGGTCATGTACATAATTTCAGCATTTTATCATAAAAATTCACAGAAATATGTTTAAACAAAGTTGGTGAGGGGTTGATCATAAAATATAAATGCTTACAGCTAGGTTGCAGATAAAGGCATGCAGAAATGCATAATAAGCATATAAAATATGGCTCTTATTTTTAATAAAGTTTTACATGATGAATTACAGAATAAAACTGAAACTGCTCAGTCAATGAGCATTAAAACAGCTTAGAAATGTTTGCATATGCAAATTTCTGCCACTGATCGGTGCGTCACATAATCACAACAGACACGTCATTACTTGAGAAAGTTGTTTACAGCTCTGCCATTGTTCAACAGCATATTAAATACTTCCTATTTCTGCTACATTTTGAGAATGCAATTAGACTACAAACAGCATATCACAATATAGCAATGAAGAACTTTTTTAAATGCTAATGCTGTACAGTTAATGTGATTGCAATGCTAACAAAACTGCAAGAGAATTTTAATGTAAATTTCCCAATTCTTAACATCCTTCTGGGAGATTCGATTTCAGATTAGTGCAAGGAATGCATGAAAGGGTACTTCTAATAGATGGTCCAGATAGGCAAAGACTTTCATTTAAGTGATGAAGAAATTGATATTTTGGCTTATTTTTATAGCCATCCATTTTGTCCTGAATGTTGGAAAGAGGCTCATTTGGTTTTGTTCAACAAAGAAAGAAAGGATAAAGAAGAGTGTTCCTGTTTTCGCCCCATTTGCTTACTGCCTTCCTTGGGCAAGGTGCTGGATAAGCTCATGACACAATGGTTACAATATTATTTATTATCAAATAATCTTTTAAATAAAAATCAGTTTGGTTTTATGTTGTATAAAAGTACTACCCAGGCTATAGATAATTAATTTTGCCACCCTTCGAAATAGAAGATGATAAACATACTGAATTTTCCTTAGATGTAAAGAGCACTTTCAACAATGTGGTGGCTGATTTTATTAAAGGAATTAAAAAAACATGAAATGTCTTCTTATTAATATCTGATTTTTGAATGAAGAAAAAGTTCCCGTATGATGGTAAAGTGGCATCACAGAAACCAAAGGGGTTGGCCCAGGCTCAAATCTGGTCTACTTTTGTGGATATATTGCTAATATAGCTTTTAACATAACACCACAAAGTTATATACAGCTTATGCTGACAATTTTGTTTTATTGGCCACGGGAAGTGGTCACACCATACTCCTGATAAAGGTTTAATTTCACCACTCAAGAATTGGAGAAGTGATCTTTCCATGTTAAACTCAAATTTGATCCAAAGAGCTTTCTTTTGGGTATTACCAAAACTAATACTAGATGAATATATCCTAAGTGCAAACTCTGTGGACAACCAGATTTTCCAAGACAATCAAATATTTGGGCATTACAATCGATGAAAAGCTCATTTTAAACCTCACCTAGATCAAATAAAGATTGAACGTGCCCATATTCTTAATATCATTAATAAAATGAATCTCCAAGGTAAAGTTCTTAACAGTTTAATATAAAAGAGATATTGAGAGAAAGATCTTGTATGCATGTGGCGCATGGTGGACTGGAACGGTCTGAATGCATAACAAAATTTTGTAAATTCAAAGAATTGTTTTATTGGGGATTACTAAGTGTTTTAGAATTTCCACAGTAGCTCTTCAGATTTTGGCTGGATGTCCTCTGATTGATATTTTAGTGGAAAAAGAATATGCTATCTTTAAGTTAAAAGCTGGTAAGAAAACTGTCGATGGTTTCACCAAGATCTTCTCAGCTATAGATTTTGACTTTGAAAAAGGTTTAGACATTCATCCAGCTTTACTGAAACAGTTGAACTGGCATAAATGCCTTCCCGATATGACAGGATACACGGTTTTTAAAGATGGATCTAAATTAAATGGTCATGTGGGGGCAGCCTTTTGTGTGTTCTTAGATGAGAAACTAAGCTTAGAAAGGAAAATCGACTTTCTGACAAGCCTCTGTCACCAGCGAGTTAGTGGTGCGAGAGGCCTTGTATTGGCTTTTCTAATTCCTGTAGAATCTATAGTGACTGCAAAAGTGAATTGTTTCAAAGGAGTTTGTCAAATAACGATCTATTAAACAGAAAAACATGCTCATTTTTCTTAGGCTTCAGAGATATTAACTCTTTTGGACCCGAGTCATATTCGTACCACTGGTAGCGAGTTAGCAGATAGATTGGCAAGGCTCCGCTGTAATAAAATTATTGATTGAGGTAAAGACTTCCTTTGACAGTTTGAAATCCTTGTTAAAAGAAAAGTTGACTCTATGGAGCAAAGTGGAACGACCAGATTCAAAGGAAGATTAACATATAATTAAACTCAACTGTAACTGAGAGAAGATGCCTAAGTGACAAGTATTAAACCCAGCTTTAACTAATCATGCACACTTTCCTTTTATTATAATAGGTTTTCGATAAAAATTGTGCTGTCATGTGGCATGAGTATGTTATATTGAGCACCTGTTTTAGATGCTCTTCTAAAAATTTATTTAAGATTTACAGCAGATATTGCTAAATTTAATAATCTAAAGGATCTAAGTAAAAATCACGTGATTAAATTGAATTGTCAATTCAAAAATATGTACCTGTAAAATGAAGGAATTTATATACTGATTGTTTAAAATTTCCCTGTCTGTTTAAGAAAAACTGGGATGTTATGATATTCTGTTATTATTTCTTTATATTGTAAGTCCTATTTTTGCAAGTAACAAGTTATTTTACAAATATAATAATGTGCTGGTTGTAGCTGGTAAATCTCACCAGCTCCAAGACTTTATATTTTATAATCAAGTTCATATTTTAGATGTTTATTCTACTTAAAGTTATTTCAGGTATTATGGTGGTAGTTCTACTGGTTAATGGGCCTGATTTAAGCCTTGTTTTAGATCTCAGTGTTTCTCAAATTAAATAGCTCTACTAAGCCCTGTTATGCCTCTAATGGCAGTACAACAAATTCGAACAGTCATAGCCATCCACACATTAGTGTTAGTAACGCTGCTTCAGAAACGAATGTACCTTGTACAAGAATGTGGCCATTTATTTCATCAAAAAAATGGCATCCATTTAGTATTCATGGTGTGCAAGGACAGGAGCCAACAGATTAGTGTCATGCTGATTTTTGTACCTGGGCTCTTAATCAGCAAGATTCAAATTTCTCTTTCTTGAAAAACATAATTTGGGCTGATGAATGCTGCTTTAAACTAGACAGATGCTTAAATCTCCAAAATGAGCATTTCTGGTTGGATTCAAATCCATTAGAGGTAAGCAAAATTTGTAATCCGAAACAATTTTCTGCAAATGTACGGTGCGGTATTCTCAAGAACCGTTTTCTAGGACTGTTTAATGGTACTTTGACGGGAGACATATGGTAATCAGATTCTGAATGTTGATATTCCTGATTTTGTAGATGAATTGCCCCTAGCAGTACTTCCACATGTTTTGCATCAACAGGATGGATGAATCTCCAGCTCACCAAAAAAAACAGTTGCAAAAGAATGGTTAAATAACGAGTTTCCAGGTAAGTGGATTGGTTTGCAGGAGCTCGTTGAATTCCACCCCAGATCACCCAATTTAATGGATATGGATTTTTATTTGTGCGCTCATTTACGCACAGCTGTTTATTCATCACCTCCCTTAAACAAAATAGAATTACAACGAGGCATTTGAGATCCTTGTTGTGAAATCACTGAACATGAACTTGATAGAGTGCACAAAAGCGTTATCAGACGAATGCAACTCTGCATTCACATAAATGGAAAACATTCTGAACAAGATTTGTAGTTTTTGCAAAAAGTCATTTTTTATACTTAGTTCAGACACTTTTGTACCAATAAATAGCACAATCATTATCTACCTAAGCAGCCTTTGTTTTCTCTCATAATTTTGTGTACGACCCCTGAAACACAAGCATTCAACTTGCTATTTTTTCTCTTTTCAAACTCATATCCAGGCATAGAAAAGTGGTTTAAGTCAGCATTTCAATAATTTCATATCTCTGCAGCTTTTTGTGATAAAATGCTGGAATTTTGTTCATGACCTTATTAAGTTTATGGGCCACATTTTGCTAATTGACAATTTTTCTGTACGGAGCCATATAAGAAAGTGAATTTTGTATTTCTTTAAATTTAATTCCTTGAAAATTTCAACTGATTTCATAAAATTCTCTACTTTTGGTTAGAATAGATTTAATGGTGCCCCTTGCATTATCGCCAAGTTGTTGTTTCATTTATGGTAACCTGAGTAGTTGAATGTTATATGGAAACCTTATTGTGATATAATTGGTTGCATGATTGCGGTGAACTTGAATGATGGGAAAAGATATGTAAGGGTTTGTGGTATGTGTTGGTTAGGAAGTACATTGCTGTTTTGTGGTTTAGACCGTAAAATGGATGAATGTGATAAGATTAATTTGAAGTTTCTGAACGATTTGGAATGAAAGGGGTATGCAAATGAAGGTTTACTTAGTAGCCATTATAAGTTTCCTGTTTGTTGGAAGGAAATGCCTATGGTCGAAATGTCGGATAATACTGGCACTATGGAGGATATTTTTTATTCTTATCTTTGAGAATTTATGTGGCAATTAAATTGTGAATTTATGTGTTTTTGTGAATGAAATTTGGTCAGATCACGAAATGAATGTTGATTTAGATCAGAAAAAGAAGTTGATGCAGATCAAGAAATAAATGTTGATACAGTAAGGAATTTTGTTTGAATGAAGACAGGGAAATTTCTAAATAAGGTAAGTGGATATTTCCTTTGTGTAGTGCTAAGATGAATTTCCATCTTCATGTTATTTCATTGTTTGATTTAAAATGTAGTTTATTGAGATTATATATTTTTTGTTGGCTGCTCCTTTGACTTCTTAAGTGAAAATAGATCGATGTGTACATGGAGAAAGGGAGTGTGCAATGCCAAATTTGTGGAGTTCTTGGATTTTTTTTAAGCGAAAATAGGTCGGTGTGTATATGGATACCGAGTTTGTGCAATTCTTTTGACTTGTTATTTTTGGCTTTGTGTAGTGGCGATTATTGGTGCAAAAATCACCACTACACAAAGCCAAAAATAACAAGTCAAAGAACTGCACAAACTTGGTATCCATGTACCACCAAAAATCGCGAATTTACGCCAAGGAGCACCCATAAATATAATTTTACCCTATCTTTTTTTACATGACTTTGTAATTTATATTATATGTCTATAATCACTTTTAAGGATTAAAAAGCCAAGGTCAATGTTTTTGAGACACTCTTAGAAGGCAGCAAGTTCATCTATTAACATAACATTTCTAACAAGCAGGAACACACATTTTAGTCTGCAAGACCACAGTATTATGGTTAAAGACTTAAATTCTAACACTACAAAACACTAAGAATGAAAAATGATAAAAAAACAAAAAGAACTCTGATGAAGTAAGTGGCATAAACAAGGAATTTTAGACTTTAGAAGAACAGCATAAAAAAATAATTACAGTGAAAGTACTTACCAGCAATAATGTCATCCATTTGTTCCAAAGCTGCTGCTAACAATTCACTAGCATCAAGAGGTGTCTCTTGGGATCTGTATTCATGAACGGGAAAAGAAATTCCACCAAAAGAGGCCTCTAAAAATACAATTTTACTTTTTACATAAAAATTATATCAAGTAGTCAAAAAATACTTTTAATACATAATATGTAATCAGATAATAAACGAAATATGGAGATAGTTTTAAAATAAAATATACCCAAATCTAATATTAATTATAGTACTTCAGAACTATAATTAATATCAGATGCTTAAAAAATCAAACAAGCATTCTAGGCAATCTCTAGCAAAAACAGAATTTCTAGAAAAAGTACAATTATTTCCAATATAATTTTAAAATTTATTTTTGTGTTTCCTTATATGAGGGATAAAATGCAGTATGTAACTTAGAAATTTAAATTAAAAATTTCTTGATCTAACCGAATTTCATTTTTACTCAGTATAACATCACCAAGATAGAAGCTCAAAAAGATTTAAAGATGTAATTTAGTAATTTTTTTTAAAGTAGCAAATTAAGTTTAAAATAAATAATAAAAGCTAGCTTCATTAGTAGCTTTCACTAATTAAAAAGTTTAGTGCATTTCAAGAAGGGAGGGGGAAAGTAATCTCTTATCATCAAAAGTAATTCTGCTAACTGGCAGAAATAATCATTCATTACTTATATAAGTAGTCAAAGATATATCTTCAACTGTTCATAACACATAACATTTTTTAATTGTTATGCATGCCAACAAAAGAATTTTCTAATTATTTCTAACAACAAACCATCTCTGTAGATTATACTTCAATTAAATATTAATTTTTATAAATAAACTTACTTAGCACGAATTTTGACTGGAAACTATTGTACCATTAAATATACAGCTATTTATTTCTTTAAACAGAAACAAGCAAATATTTAATAAAAAAGCTAAACTCAGTGGCACAAAAGCCCTTAGTAAGCCATGGCCTGCAATGTCCTGATATCTGCTTTCTTGACCGTGCCCCCCTGGGTTCATGATCATATACTCTGGCCAAGTGCTCAGCTTATCGCAGGACCCCCAGCATTTAGTCTCCAAGTGAACTTGGTACTCATTTTATAAACCCATATAAGGGATGAAGGACTGAGTTAACTTTACTCAAGCCCAGAGATCGAATTCCGGATCTGCGTTGTTGCTGTGCGACAGGCAAGCCACTGCACCGCTGGTGTCAATGAGTTAATTAAACAACAATAGATTTGGATTCACAGATTTTCATAACCTACATACTAATTATGATTTTATTAATGACTTCAGATCATGCTTGGACTTTTTTTTTTAAAAGTCTTTCAATGTTATTTCATTTAAACATTATTTTTGTCACAAAACATTTATTTAGTTTCGTATCACTGAAGTTATAATTTCTATAAAACTTTGACTAATGTACTTTTTTTAATGTGCTTATTTTATTCTTAAAATTAATAATGCCCAATATAACCTTTTAAGTATCAATGCCTTTTACTTCATTACAGAATGATGAAAGAATAAATTCAGCTGATAAAATTTTAAAAAGCTTATACTTTTACAAAATGTACAGAAAACTACTTAACATCACATTCTTTGTGAATCAAACATTAACACCAAATTCACCAAGAAAGTTAATATTATGTATACAAAATCAAAATAAAGTACAACTCTACAAATTAAACATAAAGATCATAACCAAAGAATTATATGCAGATGCAGAATATAACCCAGGATGCATGGGGAGAAAATATAAACTGAAGTTATGTAATAGTTATCACAAGAAAGAAAGATAAAGTTGATGGCATTTTAATACATTAGCTATCACTACAGTTAGAAGCATAATTTAACTACAGTTATTCAGATATTCAAAAGCATAAAAACAGGAATAGGTGATGCAAGAAAAGTTTGCAAACAATATATGATCAGCTATATGATCAACAAAATTGTATGCTTAAGCTAAATTACTATAAAATAAACAGAAAAACTTGTGATAATCATAATATTTTCTCTAAAAGATTTTTTATTCATCGCAGATATGAACTCAGGAAAGCCAAGTATGACATTAAATTAAAGAAGCAAGCACTTTTTGAAATATATAAATAACAAAAGCAAGTAAGTCCAAAGTAAATAATTCTACTTACACTATGTTAAAGTTTCTTTTAGGAAGTCACATGTCACTATATAGTTAAAATAAACTGCATTCAAAGTATACTTAATATTAGCCACACATGCAAATAATTTTCCTTCAAAGCAGTTTGTTCAAATTTTTTTAATACCTTAGTTTAAAAAGTCCATTTTTCTAACTTGCTCTGAAAAGTGAGAATCGTACTAGTCTGAAACCCTGCATGTAAAAACTCTGAACTAAATATATAAATTAAAAGGCTCCCCATATACTTCACTAAATTACATAATACAATTAATATACAAAACATACAAGATATTTCTACATAATTAGTCATTCACAAATGACAGAAATTTAATATAATGTAGTAATAACAACCCATCAAAAGAACTTATTTATTTTATGCAATCAATTACATTTGTTTTATCGCTACTTACCCGACATCTTCATCAATTCCTCAATTATTTACTTTATATCTTTCAAACATGAGTGAGAGACAAACAGACAAAGAGGGCAGATGTTTCATTTTGCACCCACTGTATGTTTCTGCCTCAAGATACTTTCAAAATCAAGATGAGGGCGAAGTTATTCTTACGGAGAGAAATTCTGTACCAGGTTATGTAGATCGTATAATATTCTCGAGTGTCAAGATGTAGAAACATCTTTTTACTCGGCTTCTGATAGATTGTATGAAGGCCATGACATAAGGTTACCATAGTTCGTGCTATACTGCTTCATTTTTCCTTTAATAAAATTAATTTTCTTTTGAGTACCAGTTGACCACAAGCCACGATTATTTCCAAAGATATCTCTATAAAATCGGCATTGTCAGCTTCCCCAAATTGCCCTATGTAACGAAGAAGAAAGAAATGCTGATCATCGCCGCACCTGCTACGCCGTGGAGGTAGAAACCCTAAAAGACAGAATGGAAGAATAGTCATGGCTATACTGAATGGAGCAGCGTCAAATGGCTGACCTGCCAAAAACTGGTGTTGGCTGAAAAGGAAGAAGAATTTTTGACGACAATTTCTTTTTACCTTCCTTCGAGATCAAATGGTCTACTACAGGAAGCACCACCTCCGTCTAATACTTTACAGCTACGAAAATGTAAAAATGTAAAAAAATGTTTCACATACAGTCTTTAATCACAAATGTCCAAAAAAATTCTTGAATAAAGAATGAAAAAGTTGTTCCAGCTGTTTGCTGGTTTACAGAAAGGGAATAAAATAGACTAATAAACAGTAAGTACAGTCTTGTGATGTACCCAATCCGGTTCCAATATAATTAATTGCAGCAAAACATAATTCCTTAAAAGGATTAGATGTGGATGCTAGGATTTAAGAATGCCTTAGTTCTTTAATCATAAACACGATCATTATCATTATACTTACCAGTTTTAATTTTATTATTAGAATAATATTGTTTTTCATGAAAATTTCTGGTTAGAAAGATGAGAAGTTGTACCATATTTAATTCTGCATTGATTTTATTATTTCGAACATATCTCGGTGCATTAGTAATTTAACATAGAACACGGTTTTGCGCAGTTTGCGGTGCCTATCAGTTGGTCTCACAAGAATAAGCCCATGCACAGCATGGAATAAATGCAGAATTAATTTATAAATTTAGTAATTTGCTATCAATACATAAAACACTATTTCGAGCACTTAAGGGAAAATGTTTGGCCTCACACACTCAAAACGTTTTATAATAGATGGTGCCAGGTCCATGAGAGCGAATCAGAGAGGATCATGCCAAGAAAAATGATTTGCTTAAGCCAAGAGAGAACTCTGTTTATCGATAATAAATTTTTCCGAATGTTTGCAAAAATTGGCGAGTTTACTTGCGTCGATTTCTTACTGTACTATTAAAAGCTGCTCAAACGGGATAGTAGTTAATATGGCGGACTGCCGTAAAGAATGACCTGGATTCAAATCCCTCCTGAGAAGGCATAAGTAAGTGTATGGTGTCTGTACGGGAAAAAAGGCACTCAAAATACACGGCGAACCGAAATTCTATCAAGAGAAAGATGATAGGGAAAGAAGTATGGGAGACCTTCGGATCGCTCCCCTTCCGGGTGTGATCTTTCTCGAAATTCCTGGGCTTTCTTCAACCTATACATGTAGTGTTATAAGGTATTTCTCCCGCCTTTTTAGCTTACCTTTATGGTGTAGTGGTCTGCACGCTGGGCGCGTATTCCAGAGGTCCGTAGTTCGATTCTCGGTGAAATCGTTGCTCATTTTTTCACTTCTTCTTCTTCCAAAAAAGACCTAATGCCTCTACAGAGTTACAAAGCATCCAATTATAACTATGCACGTACTCGTATAAAATGCAAGCAACTGAAAGTATAAAATTTAAGTGAAATTACTTAAAACTTATAAATTATTTTTCTAGATTGTAAAAGTCAAAATAAATGAATTTATATTTAATAATTGTTTCCTATCGGTCTTTACTATCCATTAAAAAAGAAAACAATAAACAAGTTGGATTCTTTAAAAGCAGATTACGATGTGTGCTTTGTTTTTGTTTTTCTTCAACTCAGGATGTGTTAGTTTTTATATAACCCGTGATCCAAGACAGACTTAATTTGTTCATAAAATTGTACACTTTGTAAAAATTTCCCTTTACTTTCTAACATCTTCTGCATTTGTATAATAACTAATATTTATTTATATATCTTAAATTATTACCATTTATTCCCATAAAACGAAAAAATTGTGTATTATTCTGCAGGTTCAGGAAATCAGTTTATTATGATGTTTGAAAGTCTAAAGTATATACATTTTGCAGTCCCGAATTTCTGCCGTTCTTTATTCCTTATTTTCAAGAGAAAAAAAATGTAACCTTGAATTTAACGACTATAATAATAATAATCATGTGAGAATCCAGAAATCCTTGCTTTTCAGAAAGTTAAAGTTTCTGCCCGAAACTTTAATTCAGACTTTAATTCAAACAAACGCGTCAAAACTTTACCACGGGAAAGCCATCTAACTTCTGTGTGAAGTAGTAAAGAAACGTGGAAATTTCCAAAATCCTCACAAAGAGTACGGAATAGACGGCAATTTGTAGCACGCGATTTTATAAAGTTCACAATTTTCACAGCATCACTTAAAGTAGTAGATAACTCTGCAGGAATACCCTTACATACTTAAAGCTTGTCTATGAATACAACAATGAGTCCATTGAATTTTCTCGATGGTCTTCTTCACCCGTGCCACAAAACCAGAAAATTTTCCTGTCATTGATTTTGCATCATCTGTACACACACCCACAATAATTCAATTTTATTCTTTTTAGAAGTTCGTTCTCCACATAGTTACCCAAGTCATTAATTGACAGGGGAACTGTTTCAATTTTCTTTGCTGCCTTTTTCCCAAGCATACATTTGGCGATATCTTTCGCATATGGTAAAATTAAATTTTCTGCTATTGTATGCGCTTGTTCAGATCTTGCAATTCTATAACTTACTAGAAATGATGCTTCAAGGGCCATTTTACCATCTTCGTTTGAAGTCAAGAAAGAAGAAAGGCTATACTTTTTGATATCTGCTAATTCTCTTTTGAAATATTCAAGAGGTTTATCTTTGTGTGTCGGATGTTTTGTTTCAATATTCTACGAAGAAGTGATCGTTTTAAGCTGCTGTTGGCAAGAACTTCGTTACATATAACACAAAGCGGTTTAGGTTTCAACTCATCCCCAGTAAAATGAAAACCCAATTGTAGATAGTCGTTGTCATATTTTCGCTGTTTCCCTTTTTTATCATCATTTCCTTTGTTTTTCGTCTGATGAAACGGTACCTCACTACAGCTTTCAGTACTATCATCTCGATTATCATGTCTCGTTTCTAAACGACCCGTTTTTAACCATCGATCCATAATAAAAATAAGCTATAATAATAATTAAATTAATAATTATTAAATCATTTACACGAGAACTTGACAGTCACAGTATCACTATCACTCAAGCTTTACAAGTGTTAAGCCAATGTATCAACGTCGACAGACAGACAGACAGACAAAATAGACAGTTAATACAACACTACTCTCCCAGTTCCCGGTTGTGAACAAGTATCTAATTCTAAAATCTTTAGTAAACTGCCTTAATTTGATATTTAGTTCCAATTGTATTGTAAAAAAAAAATATTACATAGAAGGGAAAATTGTTGCAATGATTTTAAATATAAAGCAGAACATGATACTAATCACATTGATAAAATATTTTAAATATAAATAAATGTTTGTAATAAAAAGGGAATAGTATTTGATTACTTGAATAAGAGGAATAAATTATAATGTATAAAATTGTTGATATAATTTGATATTGATGAAGTAATTTGGAAAAACAAATAAGGAAAAAAGGAAATGAAAATATTGAAATTTAATATAGATTTCTTAACAAATAGGCAGCAAACAATATGTTTTGCAGTGGGTGTGTTCTTTACTTTTTTTTTTTTTTTTTTTTTGCTTTTGATTTTAATGGCGTTTTAAAAAATCGGCCATTACAATATTATTTTCACGAACCCCCTCTGCAAACGCTGCGAACCCCCAGGGGTTTGCGAACCACCGGTAGGGAATCACTGCTCTAATCAAATGGGCTTGCGTGGTACAAATACATTTAAAAGGCCTGATTTAGCAATTTAGTTTTAATTATTCGCTTTTTATACCAAAGCATATTTCATGCATATTAAAAATTCCTGCAAGATATTAGTTCAAAAACAAGTAATAGGATAATTACGGTGTGGCATTCGATGCTAAGATAACCTTACGTTTCTCCCAATCATAAATAAGCAGTGAAGTTGATGGGCTGTGTTAGTGTTCAAATTCCGCTACACTGGTGAACAATTTTGGCGGTATATATCTCGTGAGTCTATAATAAATCCAATAGTATCTAATCCTAGGTGAAGTAGTTCCGTAGTAATTCTAACGTCGAAACTCAGTCTAAATTTAAAACAAATTTATTCGAATATCACGAACAAAACAGTCTAAAGTAAAGTCTATGGTATTTAAGCTGCATGGAAGTTAATTGAAAGAATACTGTTTGGCGTTGCCATTCAGAGGTAGAGAAAAGTGTCTATTTAGAACTTCCCCGCTGTCTTACAGGATGAAGTGAGCTAATTTTAGTAATGGCTAGGCGAAAATTTCCATCTGATGTACTAACGTCCACGACTGCTACTAGTCCATCCAGACCAGAAAAGGTCTCAACAGGAGCTAGTGGTCACTTTACAGGAATTTTATTTTTATCATTCAACAAAACTAGTTGTCGTAATTGATTGGATTGCAGTCGATTCTCTTTTAACCGGGTCTCATTTGCTCACTGAGTAAGTGGTCGAGTTATTTCATACGACAATGGTTCCAGAAGTTAGCTCTAAGTTTCTGAACTAAGGTCTATATAGAAGACAGCTAGAGTGTCATTGAGCGAAAAATGATGATAACGGTCGAGAATTCATGCAAGTTTCTATTTGCGGAATTAATGCATAAAGCTTTTCGAAGCTGAACATGTTCATGAGTTTTTTAAATGTTATTCATTTGTATTAAAATTATAATATTCAAATTCTTTTCCCACAATCCGCCATA